AAAAAATTCTGTCTCTCAATCAAAATAAATGAAGCAAAATGGCATAAAACAATTTTAAAGAAATGGTGCTAACAAATAAATTTGGTTAATTGAATACTGTTAAAAAATTGAGCAACTATTTATTATTCACACTCATAAAGTGCTTGCATACATATGTACATATATTGTGACAAAAAAGTACCCCGAAGGGTAAATAAAACGTGAAATATTCAATTATTCATCAATTTTTATTTTGTCGTGTGCAAAGTAATCCCCAACAGATGTAATACACTTTTGCTAACGAGTTTTCCAGTCCTCGAAACACTCTACATAGGCACTTTTTGGAATGGCCTTTAGCTCCTACAGTGATTGTTTTTTATATCTCTTCGATCAACTGAAAACGGGTTTCTCAGAGTGGTAATATCAGTTTAGGGCAACCGAAAAAATCACACTGAGCCAAATCTGGTAAATACGGTGGTTGCTCGATAGTATTCATTGCGTTTTTAGCATTAAGTTCAGTTGCAATCGATGTTCGATGCGATGGTGCATTATAATCGTGTACAATCCATGAATTGTTCTTCCACAATTCCAGCCATTGTGACGGATGTCCTCACGCAAACACCTTAATCTGGCCACATAGAACTCGTTATTGACCGTCTGCCCCTCCAGAACAAATTCATAATGCACCAAACCACAAATATCTATAAATAAAAACGAGCACCTTGATTTTTAAGTGGCTTTGGCTTACTTTTTTATGGTTTTGTCGTGTTGTTTTTTGGTTTCGGCACGTGTTTTCCCCTCCATTACTATGATTGTTGACTTGTTCGCATGTCAAACTTATAAGCCCACGTCTCATGGGCAGTCATAATGCTCTTCATGAATGTGGGATCGGAATCAAGCATGTCCGAAGAGAACTGTTACGGTACTTTTTTTTTTTTTTTKAAAAAAATCAATTTCACACCCAAGATCTCCACCAAAATCATTTGAACGAACTCGCGAGAAATGTCGTGCTCTCTTGCCATCCCTCTAACACTTGCCTGGCGATTTTCAAGCACCCTGTCCTTCACTGTTTTAATATTTTCATCAGTTGATTTAAACAAAAAGGTTTCCTTTACTTAATTTACAGCCCTTGGCTGGATAAAATCCGCGTCAACACTGTTAACGTAGGACCGGCGGTTGTGAGAATTGTCTCTTTATGGTATTCACTTTGTTGTTTTTGGTTTCTATAGCTATATGTCAAATTCTGATAAAAAAAAAAACAATTTTTAATGCTTTTCATCCTTTAAATATGCCTAGAGCAATATGGCGCATCTGGGTTCAATCTTTGCGTCTAATAAGAAATTAAAATTAAAGTCGTATAGACTTTAAAATTTTAAATGTTACTGAAGCTATATCAAAATTTTCAAAACGATTATAAAGATGTTTATTTTGAAATACTTACCAAGTATAAAAGAGGACTCTATACAGTTAAAACCGGTTTTGATGACACTTCCATCTAAATGTAAGGGTTTTCAAAAATAAAGTTCCGAGGTCTGCGTACCTGAATCTTCCATGAATTTTTAGAGAACCCAAAGACATCGCTAATATTCTCCATCACTCTTTGATAAATATTTTGTACCACTATAAAAGAAACCTTATAAAAATAACAAATGCAATACTTTTTCTAAATTTTGAATACATTTTATCTACAAATCCATTTCACTTCCCACTAAATTTCATTTCTTTTATTTAATTTACTTTCAAATCGCCACCAAAATTACAATAATTGCTTTTCATATTTATTTTTCTTTTTTTGGCTGACAAAATAAATATTTCAAGGCAAATAACGCTTCAATGAACTGAAATTGAAATTAATTTGTGGCGTGTGGGCTACTCATATGAGAAAAATTAAAGAAAACAAAACGAAAGGGAAAAAACAAAACCAAGAAAGAAAGAAAATAACAAAAAGAGCCAAAAAAAAAAAGAAGGAGAGAATAAAAGCATTTAGAAGAGCGCATCAAATAACAAATAAACAAACAAAAATTTCAACGCAATCAAAAGCGCAAAGCAACAATAAACAATATCATCAACATTTTGATGAAATTGAATAACAAGTTCTAAAACAAACTAATTCTTTCTGGCTTTTTGGAAGAGCCATTATACATACTATTTCGTCACCTAAAATGTATAATAACATAACAACACTTTTCATAAGTTCACAGGCGAAGGAAAAACGCTGTATTGATACCACTCATCTTGAAACAAAATTTGAGTTTTGGTTATAAAATGAGTACAGTGAAACTTCGATAACTCGTATTTGCAAGGGACCATAATTTAAATACGGGTTATGGAGTTTTTCAAGTTATCAAGTTATACAACTTATAGAGGCAACATACAGAATATACGAATTATAGAGTTTTTTTTAAACTATTTTTTCAATTTTACATAAAAAAAGAAATGATTGTACATATTTAAATTTTAAAATATAAAGTACATATGTTATTCATTCAATATATATATGTATGTATTTTGAAAAATTGTACAAAAATAATAAGAAAAGTGTTCATTTTAAAAGAAATCCGTAATATGTTTTTGACGGACATTATTTTGGCGTATTTTATCTATGGCATTATCAATGTTTACAATGTCATTAAAAATAGTGTCTTCAACAATTGATGCCATGAAAAAAAGACGCAAATTTTCAATTGAAGCTTTCGCAACTTTTGTGGAAACTGATCGAATTTCAAATGTTCAAATACGAGTTGTAGAGGCTTTTGAGGAAAAAATACGAGTTGTAGAGGCTTTTGATACACATTTTCCAATTTTTGTCTCAAGAAAAATACGAGTTATCAAAGGGACCGAAATACATGCATTTTTCGCGAATTTTTCTAGGGACCGAAGAAATACTATGAACTATCAAGGTTTTTCGCTTATCGAGGTTACGACTTATCGCAGTTTCACTGTATATATTTATTGGTTATAAAGCGGAAGCTGAAAATTTTATGCTACATATATATATATAATATGGTGTAGTGAATCGTAAACAATAAAAAACTCATTTTCGATTTTTTTGATAAAACGTTGTTTTGGATTTATAAATTGTTGATGCCATTGCACCACGTGCTGTACACACTCCACTGGCTACTAAAATTACTCATGCAAATTATTACTGAAATTAGTAAGTATTACTATTTATTATAAAATTAAGCGTGATTCAAACGCTCTGCTGTAAATATACTCGTAAACATATTTATGAAATTAAGCTCTATCCTCACGTAGCCTCGCTTGAGTTGCTTTAAGTGTAAGAAAATCAAAAAAGTCATCAAAATCTTCGGCTTCATTTTATTTTCGCATTTTACGCACTTTGTCTCTTTAAATTTACGCGAAATTCCAGTGTTTTTTTCGTTTACTGAAAATCTCATTTGATGTTTTATGCCGTCGTAATTTCCTTCGCATTATCCTTGCAATGTGCTGGCGTTTCCTCGCGCGAAAAGTATTGTGTTGGCAGTTATTCCACTCAAATTGTCTTCCTCATTGTTATAAAGCAAATTGCATTGTTGTAGTAGCGTTTGACATTATTGAAGTTTTGCGCGTTTTCCGTTCGCTTTTTATTTATACCTTTGCCAACGAAATATCCGTTCACTTTTTATTACGCAGGCATTCTTTCTTTCCGAAAATTAACTGGTTTATGTGCACGCATTAAGTTGTTATTTATATCGCATTTCTCATTATATTTTTGTAAAATTCAGGCTGCACAGTTTTAAACGCTACGAGTCGCTTATGTAAAAGTTTTTTGTTTTTCTGTTTTTGATTCAAATTTCATGTTTTAATGTATGTTTGTTTCCCTTTCTTGTCCTTTGGAGTTTAACGAGCCACGTTTTGCTGGCTGTATTAATGCGCCATTTTTTCTTTCTGCAGTTGTTTTGTGCATTTTTATGCGTAACGGTTCTTAATTTGTGCGATTTAATTTGGCTATATCGTTTTTTTATTTGGTGTTTTACGGCAAGGTTCGCTTGTGTAATATTGTTATGATGATTTAAGGGTTCAGTTTCAGATTTCGATTTAAGATCTTTACAACTTGGTTGGATATTTATTCAGAATCGCTAAAATTCTTGATTTTCTGTTGCATTATTGTATGATTGTTATGCTCTCGTTTACTCTAGATTTTTATTTTAGGATAGATGCACTTCTTTCTTGTAATAAATATACTGTGTTCATATACTTTATCCTTGAACATTATATATAAATATCCTTACATATGTTTTGAATTTTTATCCGCAATATTTTTA